ATAAACAATTATCAATTAAAAATAGATAAAAATATAATCATAATAAAAAATTAATTAAAAAATATATATATATATATATATATACATATATATATATATATATAAAAATTAATAAAATTTTAAATAAAAAATTAATAAATTATAATCCTAATTAATAATTTTTTGTAAATTTTTTTAATATTGAATTAACGAAAATAATAAAATGATATATACAATATTAGTAGAAAAATTGCATTTAAAAATCAAAACAAAAATTTTGAAAAGAGAAAAATATTTACAATAAAAATCTATCAAATAATATTTCCACAATAAAATAATAATTTCTAAAATTAAATTAAAAGATTAAATATTGAATATGCAAATAAAATATAAGAAACATTCTATCAAATTTTAAAAATATTAAAATAAGTAAATATAAAAAATAGTAATAAAGTAAATATGTAATATTATAATAAATTATTATATTATGATAAAATATTAGATAAGAAATTAAATTTAAATAACAACGATAATGAAAATGATGACAACGACGACGATTGTAATAATGATAAGAATAAAAACAAAAACAATAAAGATGTTAATAATGCTAATAATATTAATAACAATATAATCACTAGCAATCGTAAAGATGACAATATATTCATACTTATTTCTATAAATGAAAATAATGATGTTAGGAATAATAGAATAATAGTAATAATAGCAATGACAATTATAATAATTGTAATTATATTAATAATTATGTAAATGTTACGTGCTATTTATATAGTTTAATATGTCAAAATATAATTCATAAATGATATATTGACCTTTTTCTTCGAGCCACTGAGAAAATCCTTATACATTTCCGATCGAAGATACCTTGAGTAACTATCGCTTTTCATCAGATGATAAACGTGCGCCTAAAATTTAATACCATGGAACATTTTCATAGTTTGTCCATTATTATTATTATTTCTATTGAGTTCTTTATTGAATTAAATTTATTCAGTCTAAATATTTCAATATTTTTTTTCGATTTATATATTTTTGCAAAAATTTTTTTTAATTGTGACGAAAATTTTTTGTTTGGAATTTGTACCGCTGTAATGTCGAAACACCATCGATCAGGTTTCTGTAAATGCTTCTTTGTTATCTCATAAGACTGAGAATCAACGTTAATTGGACAACTAGCATCTGGACCCAAATATTCATTCCAAATCTCGTTCACTTTATTTTTAACTTCTTTTTGAGGTAATGTTTTCAATTCTTGTACGGCTTCCCAAAATCTAATTATACCAAAGAAAACTTTATTTTTAATCTATTATATACTATGTATATTTTATTTTAGGAAAATATTCTAGTTTAAAAAATTACAGAATTCAATTTTTAGATAACAATACTTTTTTATAATTTAAATTAAAAAGTTAATTTTTAGTAGCTTTTGAAACATTGATCTGATGATATGATAAGATATATATCATAAATACAAGACACTCGAATTTTTGCAATCTGATATTTTCAAGTAATATGACTAATAATATAATTATATAATTATATATTATTGTTTTATATAAATATAATTATTATTAATTAATAATTTAGTTATTAATTATATATTAATTAAAAAAAAATAAATATGTTTGTAAAAAAAACATATAAAGCAAAATATAAAGAAACATAAATAAATATTAAATTTTTCATTTTTTATAAGTTATGTATGTTATATTATATTATTTTAAATATGATCATCTAGAATACCATAAACTAGAATATCTTTTTATATTAAAATTATATATATAATTAATATATTTATATACTACTAACTTACTTTAGATTTTCACTACTAAATTCTTTGTCCAGAAAACGTATAAATTGTTCTCTACCAATAGGATCTTGTAACAATTCTTGAAGACTAAAACCCCATCTTTTTACTCTTCTTGTTGATATTTCCTTACTATTTAAAAATATTATATTATAATAAATTTACATATTAGTTTAATAATATTAAAAAAATATAATATAAATTAAGAAATGCACATACGCTAATTTTTCTTGCTCCCACATTTCAGAATTATCTGATATCCATGGATTTGTGAATTCAGGTTGTATGAAAAAAGGATCATACTCTATATACTGCTCAAAATATGCAATCAGACTAAAATAACCAAAAAATAAAAACATATAAAAATAAAATACAGTTTAATCAAATTAATATAATCCAAAAAGATTTATACATATAAATATAGCAAAATTTTAATAATATTTAATAAAATAATTAAAAATAATATTTACTTACGCCTCTGAAACTTTTGAAACTTTTATATTTGATCTATCTAATCTAGCTTTTAACATTTCAATCTCTTTATTTAATGTTTCTAATGAAGATACTGTATATGATTCTGAATGAGAAGGAATATCAGTATTAGCCATTTCTAACTGTAAATGTTTACTTAACTTTGGAAAAGGTTTATAAGTACGACATGCTTTTTTAATATCCATTTCTGTCGTATTAACGCATCCAGGCTAAAAAAAATTGTAATATTATTATAATTCAATTCAATTCAATCAAATCAATTCTTAGATAGAAATTTTTCAATAAATTATTTTAATGAATATTCTCGCCGATTTCTAGGAGTCAAAAATAATATGGATAATTTATTATAAAGTTTCCATTATAAGACGAAATAGTCATTAATATTTATAAAAAAATTTAATTTAAGTTTCATTACCCAATTTTATATATTATATTATTAGAGCATAAAAATTTATGAATTATTACCATTGGTCTATATACATCCCAAAAAGCTCTTTCTTGACTATCTAATACCTTTCTTTCTAATTTATCTCGTTTTTTATCAACTTTGCTTTGTGCTTCTGCTTGCATAAAAATAAACTCCCATTTTCTTGAAAACATTTTTTGTAATTTAGCTAAATTTTCAGCCTCATAATCTGCTAATTCTAAACGTGTTTTGTTTTGCATTGTGCGTTTACATAAGTAAACAGCTGCAAAATAAAATTAAATATATTCTTTTATAAAAAATTAAAATTAAGATAAAAGAAATATTTCTATAACATATATCAATCACATAGTTATTGAAATCAATAACAATATTCATAAAAATTACATCTTTTAATATTTAATTAATTATAATTAAATATTTATTATAATTAATATGTAAAATATTAATTTTTTACATATTTTATATATTTACATTGGAAATTTGCTTTAATAAAATAAAATTTACATAAAAATAATTTTTTTTACTAAATTATGAACAAATTTTATCAAAGTTGTAATAAAATATTAAATATTTTAATATAAATAGAGAATTTTAAAAAATTTTAAAATATTAAATTTTAAATTATAATATTTTATTAATTTATTTATTTTCATATATCAAAGTTCAAAAATATATAGTTATCATTTTTTATTTAAAATGTTTTCTAATTATATTACAAAATATATTACAAAATAATTTTCATACCATAATCAGTATTTTCTGGTTCCCAACAATTTGATGGCCAAAAATATGGTGTTTGAAATCTATAGAAAGTATTATCATTTTTTACGGTAAGGCAGTGGTCATCAATAGGGAAGAAATATCCATGAGATGCCATAAGATGTGCCACATGAAGTGCCTCTATTATATTAATATATTTGTAATTAATTAAAATTAAATTATTTTTCAAGAAGGAAAATTAAAGAATAAAAAATTAAAAAATTAAACCTATTGATATTATTTACATAATTAAATTATGTATCATCATTTATCTGATATAATCTTTTTTGATTTTTATTAAGTTCATCTTTTAAAAAATTAAGAAAAGTATAATTTTAGTATAATTTTGCATCTTTGTTTAAATGAAACTTTTTATTGGAGCAGAATCACAGTTTTTGAAAATTAATTTGAATTTGTTTCTTGTTTTTTATTTTTTTATAATAACTATATTAATTTCGTTTCTTTGAACTTAAAAAATGAATCACAATTCATTTCTTTTTTAATACAATTAAATAATAAAGTACTATTTTGAATGAATTAATAATTCTAAATAATAACTTGGTAAAAATTTATTACTTTTAAACATATAATAAAATTATAATTGAAAACAAATCTGAAAGATTATTAGTTAATTAATAATTAATATTTTATGATTAATATATTATTTTGATGATTTTTTCTCTTATATTTAGAATTAATATTTCAATACCTTGATCATCTATAGCCATGGTTTTCATCATCCATGATATTAAATCTGTACCTAAAATAATAATTAACAATATGATAAAAAATAAAGAAAAAAATCAATAAAAAGCTTTAAATAAAATTATGATATATTACCAGTAAAAACAGAAGGTGTTTTTGTCATAAAATTTTTTACTGTTTTTACTGGAACACCTGTACTTTCATCTGACATTTTTTCTACAATAGCTTCCATCTGAAATATATAATACATAAAATAAAAATAAAAAAACAATAACATATATTTATTTAATGACTTAGAAGATTATTAAATTTAGAAAATTTATTATATATAGATATAAATATAAAAACATAGAAACATAAAAATATAGAAACATTAAACATAAAAACTTACTTTTTGATACACAAGATAATTAGGTGTATCTTCGGCACACGAGGCAGTGATGTGATATGTGGGACTAATTGGAGATTTGTCAACTGCTTGGCCATTTTGATTATTACATTGATTTATTTGATTATCTCTATTTCTATATCGATCAACTGTTCCTTCAATATTACTATTTTCACTTTGTTTTCGGCGACATGCCGATTGTTCAGAATTCATAGTTACCATATCCAAACTAAATAAATATTTTACAAATTTTATTTTAATTGCATTTACATTGTTTAGTATATAAAAAAAGAAATATTAATTATATATCATATATAAATTAATTTTGCTTAAAAACTTATTTATATTTATTATTAATTTAAATTAATTATTTACATTTATTATTTTTAAATAAAATATTTTAATATGACTATTATATTATTAAAAATAATGTAAATTATTTCAATATAAAGAAAATGAACTATTATTTTAAGAAATAAATATGAAAATAAATGTTAAGTAAATAATATCAAAAAATTTATTATATTTATATAATATGTATATATATGTAAAATTATGTATAATTAACATGTATATATTAATAAATATATTAAAATTATTCAAATAATATATATGATAGTGATGAATAATAAATTTAAAAATTAAAAATATATCTTTTTATAACAGAATTACAAAAATAATGATTTTATTATTTTCATTTTTTTTTATTTTAAATTAAAATATATTATCAATTTAATATTTCAAATTAAAGCACAATTACAATAATTATATAAAATAACTATTTATTATTATGATTATTATGATTAGTAATATATATATTTTATAAGTATTATTATTTTTAAAAAAAAATTATATATACTTGAAAGTACAGAAATTACTTACCTCAAAAAAGTTTATTTTCCATGATACAAATAAAAGAAAACCATTTTATTTACATTTATATTTATCAAGATCTAAGCCAATAACCAATAATTTGATTATTCACTGTTCCAAAATCATTCCAATTACACATTTCACTAAAATGAGGCAGAAACTGCTAGAGAAAATATATATATATGATATATCTTTAAATATATTTTTTTTATTTATTTATATTATTATTTTGATATTTTAACAAATTACTTTCACATTAATTTTCTATATACATTTATAAAATGTTTAATAAAATAACAAAAACTTAGAAACTTAGTTTAGAAAAAATTTAAGTTAATATAAAAAATAAAAAATATAACAATAATTATGACATTAATTTATTAGTAAATTATATATATTTAATTAATTGGTTTTCATTAATCAAACAATAAAAAATTAAGTTTCCTTATATTTTTAAAAAATAATCAATATATTATTAATAATTTCATTATTAAATTTGATTTACACAAAACTTCTAATTTAATAAAAAAATAAAATCATTAATAATAATATTACCGATTCTTTGGAACAAAAACCAAATGATAGATTGATCAACAATGCCAATCATTCATCTTCCTTTTAATAAATGATTTTTCTATAAAAAATAATGATCTATTTTTTTATATAAAATGATATATGTTAATAATATTTCACGATTTATTTCAATATCTTATTTTTTGAAGTTAAGCTATATTTCTAGCACAAATTTTTTTCATTGTACGATCAATATTTCAAAAACACAAAGTATGAACATTTGGTATATGCACAATTCAAAAAAAACTGTATTTATCTTAAATAAACTAAATATCTAATTGATAATATAATGATATGTATTTTATTTAAATGAACCAATAATAAATTATTTTTTTCTACGTAAAATAAGATATGTTTTTACTATATAAACGCAATTCCTTTTTATATATATATATATATATATATATATATACTAACT